AGGGATTCTGCCCCTCTGCTCTGCTCTGGTGAGACCCCACCTGGAGTCCTGCATCCAGCTCTGGAGCCCTCAGCACAGGAAGGACATGGAGCTGCTGGAGCGGGTCCAGAGGAGGGCCAGAAAAATGACCAGAGGGCTGGAGCACCTCTTTTACGAGGAAAGGCTGAGAGAGTTGGGGCTGTTCAGCCCAGAGAAGAGAAGGTTCCGGGAAGACCTTATAGCAGCGTTCCAGTACCTGAAGGGGCCTACAAGAAAGCTGGAGGGGGACTTTTGACAAGGGTTTGTAGTGATAGGACAAGGGGTAATGGCTTTAGAATGAAAGAGGGGAGATTTAGACTCGATATAAGGAAGAAATTCTTTACGATGAGTGTGGTGAGGCCCTGGCACAGGTTGCCCAAAGAGGTGGTAGATGCCCCATCCCTGGAAACATTCAGGGTCAGGTTGGACGGGGCTCTGAGCAATCTGATCTAGCTGAAGATGTATCTGCTCACTGCAGGGGTATTGGACTACATGAACTTTGAAGGTGCCTTCCAACTCAAACCATTCTATGATTCTGCGAACACACTGAATAAATATAAGCAATAACATAGTTCAGAAAACTTCTGATTTATTAGGAAAGTGCACTTCACATTTCTATTTGTCAGTCTTGAAGCTTGGTTGTTTTTGAATTTGAGAGTGCGTCGGAATCAAATTTTGCATGAAACACCCTGTTCGCATTTGTTTGTGAATTCGGTAGGCTTAGGGAGATGAGAGTGGAAAAGGATATCAGTGAGCCAGATTACACAAGCATAGGGCTGGTTTGGGTCAGCTCTAGTTTATATTAATAGTCAAGGATTGCTAAGAAAAATGCAATAACTTGATGAAGTAACCCTCACCAACAGTTTTAAGGGCTTCTTGGTCAGACATGGAGAGAGCATAAAGCCAAGAAAACCTGTCCATCTAGTTTCTGATGGAATGCTTCCTATCGTAATAATTTCAAACACTTAAACACCTTTAGGTCAAGCAAATCACTGACAGAACCAGAGGATCATCAAGGCTGTTTTCTGGGCTTATGCATGTGGTGCTGTCTTTGTGCTACATGAAGACTGCATGTGTGGGAAGCCAGCAGATCAGAAACTAGACCTGTGATCCAGGGAGTAAAGGATGAAAGTGATTTCGCTGTTCACTCTCATCTGTTAATGTTTGTGCACTCTGCAGGTAAAGGAGCTGTTCAGATGCCCAGAAGTTCTTTGTTTTTCACTTGAACTGCACCAAACAGATAAGCGAGCAAGCAGTCTTATGCACTCAGTCTTTCTTAACTTCTCATTCCTCAGTGCTTGCATATGCAGACAGTGAGACTTTGAGGAAAAGATGGCCTTTAGCCATGGCAAAGATACATGGATTTGTGCTACTGGTGAAGTGGGTTTTTTTGTTACACTCACCATGGAACTTTTTCCTTGCAGGCTGAAATTATGAAAGAGTATACAAGGATATTATACAAGGAGTGTATACAACTGTTGCAAGCTTCTACTTATATAAGTAGGTACAAAAGATGCTCTGAGGTAGGGTTTTTTTACTTTTTGGGTTTTGTTTTCTTAATATTTGACACTTAAGAGGGAAAGTAAAGATTTTACTCTAGGTATGTAATTTCTGTGCAGTGATCACACATGGAGCTTTACACATAGTTAAGGACAGGTAGCTAATTTGAGAGAGAAGGCTAAAGGTACTTGTAATGGTGTGTAACATATATCTTGGTCCTGTGTGTAGACAGCAGGATTCAAGGCTCAAATATACCAGCCTTTAGAAGTAGCGTTCATGGGACATCAGTGGTTCGCTCTTGATAAACAGCACTTGTCAGTGAGCGTTGAATTGTGTGTGTGTAAATAATGCTGGCTTGGCCTGTCCTAAGATAGTAGACTTGTTACAGGTTCAGACTTTAGCTGAGTTCAGGTTGGGAGGCAAATGTACCTCTAAGCTACCTTTATACTTCCTCTGACAGGGCAGCCAAGTACTGAATCAGCACTTGGAAAGAAAGAGAATAGCCACAGGGCTGTGCTAGTTTATCCTGTCAGAGGTACCAGTGGTTCTTGGCCAGGATCACTAGAGCACAGCCCGTGCAGCCCTTGTTTAAGCAAGCCCTGACACATCTTCAGCCATAGCCAATTCTTGATTCGTTGCTTCTCAGTTAGCTGTAAGGCTGCATTGTGTCTCTGTCACAGTAAAAAATAAAGCATGAGGTAGGCTGAAAGTCTGACTTACACCAAAATACAGTTTCTAAGTATTAGTATTTTTTAATCACTCACTGATCCGGGCCCTCAGGGAAGTGCAGGTGTGCTGTGATTCCTCTGGAGCAAAGGCAGTGTAAGAGATTCTCATCCTTCCCTGCGTCCTGCCTCAGGTTTCCATTCCTTCGCAGTTTTGTCAGTTCAGCTGATAGCAAGGCAGCCTCTCAGCATGGATTCGTGATACGATCCAGGCTGGAGTTGTGTATTTTAAAGGCATGTGTTTTTTCTCTTATTGTAATCTGGATGATATAATGGCTCTGGTACCATCAATTCCAAAAGTTTGAGTTTATGCAAGGAGGAGGTAGTGGTCTGTGTTGAAGGGGCAGAAATGAGCAAAAGTGGCAAAAGGAAGAGCTGAAACTTTCTTCACCCAAAAAACTAACTTGAGCATAAGGTAAACTTTTATCATCATAGGAAATAGCCTTTACTTCTCAGATGCCTGAGGATAAGGCTGTAGAGCAAGTCACATGATTGTTCATAAGCATTACAAAATTAGAGGCGGTACTGGAGTAGAGACAGCTATTTTTTGATTACATTGTTTGTCAAAAATGTGAAGTTCGTCCTTGTTGATAATATCCTTCTGTGTGATACAGAAGATCTATGTAAATCAGTGAAGACCTTTGCCTTGAAGCATCACTTACAGACTTTCATAGCGAGTGGCTGAAGGGCAGGTGCGCTCTGCGGGTCCCCATGTCCGGCCTCGGCAGCCCGCTGGATCCCTGGGTGGACGCTTTTGCAGGGTGAGGCGATTCTTATCCTGGAGCAGTTCTGCTCACGGAGCTGGTCCAGGCTGTTGTGCTGGGCAGGTCGTGTTCCCGCCTGGTCAAGGTCTTCCGAAACCAGTCGTGCCTTTTTTCATCTCTGCCAGAACTTACACAACTGACAGTCAAGAGTTCAGAGGTCTTGGTACCAGGGAGGACTTTGGTTTTTGAGGAAGCTCACTCCTAATAAGGAAGAATATGGATTAAAATTCCACAGTTGTTTCCCTGTATTTATTTTTTTTTCTCTGCCCAAGAAGTGGCAGTGAGGCTTAGTGTAATCTGCTTCAGAAGTGGATTCATATAAATGCTTAAAAGGTGTTTTTTTGGCTGTTTTAACAAGCTGCTGAACAAATCTGGCAGTTTAGCTGCCACCAGAGAGAGAAATGTTGCTGCCTCCTCTTCCTTCACCCTGGTCTGCTTGGATATGCCTTCTGCCTGTCACTGGCTGAGGTGCTCATGGGGTCCTTCCCTGAGCTGGCTGAACTTGTTAGGCTGGTGGGAAACTGTCCACGTGTCTTCTCCTGTGCTAGTTTTCATCTAGGTTAGTGAATTGATTTAGCTCATGTAAGGGTCTGTTGGCTACCAGAGCTGGTGCGAGGTATGCAGACAGCGTTTTTTGTCAGCAAGAAGAGGAATAATAATGGTGTGGTGGAAGAGAGTAGGCTTGTCCCCTTTTGATAGTACTGATTTGTTAGACTGGTTCATCCCATGTGAAGGAGCGCTTGGCAGGTCGTCGGGGAGGTAGCACTAAACAGCCACGCTCTTCTGGGCTGGGACTAACAAAACCCAAAGATGATGGTAGTGCAGGGTAAGAGCCTCGCTGGATCTTCCTGCAATGGCTGTGACTTGCTACAGACTTGCTGAAGGAACACTGATGCTTACGGGCAAAGAGAGTCATCCTCACTGCTAGGTCTCCGAGGATTATCCAGAGCAGCTCTGTGGTCCAGGTTCTCTTTAGCAGCCTTGCTCTGCAAAAACGTGTCTGCCGATGGGTTTCTGAAAGGTGTCAGTTCACCAGGACTGTGGGTTGTTGTAATTGCCATTAATGGATGGAATTTTATGGAGAGCAAGCACGTGATGCGCACAGCACTTTCTGCTTTGTCATCCTGCCTGTGGCAGGTTGCCCGAACCGACAAGGGAGAGGCCCCTTGCAGCAGCAGCCTGCATACAGACTCTTTCAAGTCTCTGCCAGAGGTTGTGGTTGCCTTTGGGTTTTAGGGCTATTGCTAAAGCTGGGCACCTCTAGCACAGATCTACCTGAAAATAATTAAGAGATGTTTATATAAATGCCTGTGTTGTCTAACGACTAGATTTTTATCATATTGAAGATAGAGTTTCAGGTGAACATTCCTGAGGTTGTTCATACTTGTTACAGGGGTAAAACATAAGGCTTCGGTTGCTTCAGGTACATGCAGGACTGTAGCTTTGATAATATATTGAAGAAAAAAAAATCTCCTTTGTGAAGATTGTGGTCAGTGTTCAAAACCTGTGTTCTTGCTTTTTTTTTTATATGCGTGTGTTTATACACAGATTAATTCCTCTGTTCCTTCCCCAAGCTAGAGTAGGGCACGTATTATCCATCATTAATATTACTGTTAACTATTGCATAACGATTGTGATCTTTAAACCCCTTTACCAACTTCAGCAAAGTACTCTTCCCAATACCTTTGTGAGATGAAGGAATTTTGTCACCAAGTTTCAGAGAAGAAATGAGAAGCGACCAGATTACAGACCAATTTTCAATGACTACCTTTTCACAGTTGTGTGTGTGTGTATGAATGCTCTTCAGGTTTGTGGGCTCAGCGCCCAAGCGATGTATACGGATTCACTATGGCTGTTTGTCAAAGTATGTGCACGTGTCAGAGTTTGCTAATTAATGCTGGTTGTGCAGTGCAAAGTATGTATGTGATTAAGTACAGACAAGTATGTACTGACCTATTTATTGGAAATTATGCTTAACGTAACTCAGAGTTACATGGAGGAAGGCAAAGCTGATAATGGATTCCTAGTTGCAGGAGAAAAATTAAAACTTTTAGTTCAGTTTATAAAGTACAAGACTGAACTAAATGAGAGCACATCAACGTAAGAAAATCACTTTCTGGGCAAGAAAGGTAAAAATCATCATTTTCTTTTAAGACTGAAGTTTCAGGCTTAGCCACAGCAAATCTTATTTCCTTGCTTTATTCCAAGCATACTGTTAGAATGGCAAAAAGTACTGAAATTCCAGCCAAATCTCATATGGGATTTTATTAAAGAGAAAAATATAGCAAGTCATCCTAACGTTGCAGATGACTCATCGGCTGCCCTTCGGAAATGCTCCTCTGAGACAGGCATGCTGCTGATGAGGAAGCGATGAAGCTGGCAGGCCACTCCCCCAGACAATTTCGCTTGAGGAGCACAGCCTTCATAAAGGACGTCTCTCCAGACACTATGTTATTTTGTTCTTTATTTCACAGAGGGAGCACAGAAGCTGCAAGAAGGGCAGAGCGAAGTAACGGCAGAAACTACACAGCCAGTTGTTTCTGTACAGGAGAAGCAAACAGGAGATCATGAGAAAACTTTAAAGGTAGGGGGAGATACATTTTGAAGTCTGCAGTTTAGTTTTGATGTTGAAAAATAAAGAGAATGTGGACTTTCTTTTAAAAGTTGTAGTTCTTGGGAGAAGAATGGAGGAGATCCGTTCTCGGGATGCGATCGTGGTCAAGAAAAAGTTCCCCTGGTAAATGTGAAGCGGAGCTTGTCAAGATCCTGGCCACTTCGGAGCGGGCTTCTAGGAGGTGGTTTCAGAGGGGAAGGTTGTAATTTACTTTGTCTAATCTAAACTCTTCATATGTTTTCATGAAGAATGACTATGAAGAACTAATGAAAAATGAACCAAGCAGTAGGGAGTAAAAGCTGAAGTTTCTTAATCCATGTGAAAACATAAAGCAGTTTTCTTAAAAGAAAAAAAAAAAGCATGATATAAGTAGTGATCTAAGCAAATTTTGAGAGTCGGTATTGTGGTTTCCTTATACTCATCGTAAAGATACCGTTCTTGGTAGTTGGGCCGAATGACTGTGTGGGAGTTAGTCTGCCCTCAAGCTTCACACCATCCTGTTTCCACTGAGCAAACAAGAAGGTGTGCTTTGGAAAAGAATGGCACACCTTCTCTAATTTTACGTCCCTAAATACCAACAAAGTGAAACTGCATGTCATAATACAATATATGCTCCTTTTTTGCTCTTACTCTGATTGCAGTAGGAAGTTTGAGCCTGGCCAATGGCCGTGTTAAAAAAATAGAAAAACGAGGAACCGAGCACCAAGTAAATTCAGTGGTAGGGCTGTATATTGGGGTGGCAGAGCAGGAGGAGAAGAGGAAGGAAGATGAGGTATTTTTGGATGTCTTCACAATAGCTACAGGTGTTTTCTAGGTTTTGTTTCTACTGTTAACATGCTACCCAGGGTTATGAAATACTATTAAAATGTGATTTTCTACAGGCAGATGCACAGTCTGAATTTCTGCTGACATTGCTGTGTAGTTTGCTGGAGGGACAGGGGATTTTTGTCAGTGATATGGCTGTGCTGGCAGCGGTCTCTAGGGTAGCCACAGTTACACTTACAGAGAGGGAATGACCTAACCTCAGAGGAAGTTGACAGCAGAATGGCTTGAGCACAAAGGGCTGCGTAATGCAAAACAAAATTAAGATGGAAAGAGAAGGGAAACTTCTTTGTTTGTTTTTTTTCTTTCCTTTTATTTACCATGACTATTCCAGTAGTACTGAATCAAGTCCTACCTTGTTAGGACAATAGAAACACTTCAATAAAAGCGAGCAGATTTGTAAACTGACTAAGTATGGTTTCTTTATTTACTTTTTTTGTGTTAAAAGTTTTGTTGTGACTTTAATTGATACTCACTGATTTACATCAGCTGAGATTCTGATTTTTACTCACTCCAGATCTAGTCCTGCAGTTTGAGAGGCACTGAGAATTTTGCCAGCAACTCCAAAGGCTTGAAGGTCTGAAGCCCTGATAAACTGGAGCTTTGCGAATTAAGTACAAAGGCTCATTTTAGAAAGAAGATACAAAGACAATACCATGTTCATTGTGGCATACAGCTGTCAAAATGCATATTAGGATTTATGGGTTGTTTTTTTCTGTGGTAGTAGTCACCTGATCACAAAAAAAATCTCTCATGAGACTGCAGTGATCACACTTGATCCATTTGATGCCAAAGTTAATTGCAATGCTAAACCAAAGCAATAATAAATACAGGCAGGTTACAAAAATGTAGTTTTCAGAAACTGTTTTCTTCATTCAGTTCTGTTCAATCAGTTGGTAAGGCTGGTAATTGCAGATTATTACAATGTTGTATATGATGGTTGCATTTTCCTACTAATATATGCAGGAGGAGGGGAAAAACACTAATTAGGAAAGTCTAGGGCAGATGAAAAGAATAAAATAACCTAATGGAATGCCTGTGTCAGCAGGTACATATCTCATCCTGGAGTACACAGTATGAGGAGGCACTGGAGTGGCGTTGATGTGGAAAACTAAGCTCTGCAAGGAAACCCAGGGCTCCACTGAACAAGAGAATTCATAATTCAGTATCTGATAGATACCGAGCTGCTCAAGGATGGATTAAGAACATGAAATTTTGAAAAGCTAATTAAAGCAGAGCTCGGAAAACTCAGATGCACTTATGTTCCCTTATCACAATATTTGCTGCTGAAAATACTAATTTTTGAGCACTGTGGGTAACATTTCAATGTTCCCTAATCCTTTTTGTTCTCACTTTTCAGGCACATAAGGAAGGCAAGCCTCAGAAATTGCTGGAAATGAACGGGCATACATCGGTGCCGCACTCCTACGACTATGATCTCATTGTCATTGGTGGGGGCTCAGGTGGTCTGGCAGCTGCCAAGGTATGGGAGAGAAAACACAAATTTGTACTTTCCCTGTAAGTAGGTGGGTGACATCCTCAACGTCTTGGATCTGGGTATCTTTAACACTGGGGGGCATAACATCTGCCTAATCAGTGGGTTTTGTTTTGAGGTTAGGTCCGGTTATACAATATTCTTTTCCTTGTGTTCTGAAGAAGAAAAACGTAAAAATGTCGTGGTATACTTAATAGAATGAAACTTGGTCCCCATTAGTGGGAAATGATGCTGTTGGAAAGCAACAGGTAGATATCTCAACTGATAGTTGAAAAAGTTTTAAAAACTATTTAAAGTTAACATCAGGGTTGTTTTTTTTCTGAAAGTAATATCTGTTCAGAAATAGTTGTGTATGCCATTTTAATTCTTAACAATGGGAGAGATTTTGTGATTTATGAGCTTATATAGTTGCATAAATGGAGATTTTGCCAATACTTAAGCAGCATTAGCATCTCAGCCTTCATTTCTATGGTCTGATACTTCCTGCCTGTAGCCAAATAATTTGATTTTTTTGTTAGGATATTGCTTTTAGAAGCAGATCTAGAATTAATTAAAAGAATCTACAGTGGTGCAGAATATACCAGCTCTTGGAGTTGTCATTATCCCAAATATGTGAAACTTGCTGAAATTTAATGTAAGTCTGTAACGCTCCTTTATATCAGTAGTTAGGCACAGTTTGCCTGTTCTTGCTGTGGTGGAATTAACTATTTAGAACTAAATTGAGCGTTTCTAGAAATAAAACTATTTCGTTGCTCAAGACCTGGAGTTGGATTATTCCTGCAGACAGGAGATGTTTCTTTTGTTCTTGAGAACCAAAGGAAGTCATTGGGGAGTGAAAGAAAATGAAGAGAAAGTATTTCACCATAGAGCATTGGATTCACACTAAACCGTGGTCCCTTAGAAGAACTTCTGTTGTAATGGAGGACTGCAGTGCTGAGAGGTGGATTGTAATGTGCCGTACGTCCATAATCTTCTTCGGTAGTTTACCGCTCTGCCATCGACAGCGGCACTGTTGTCATGGTGTAGGGTGGAAGATAAGATCTATAAAAATTCTGAGACCCCGCAGAAAGAAGCAAACACTGGTTTTCAGAAGATAGGGATGTTTTAGGACAGAAGAGAGTAACAAGTAAAAGTACAGTACAGTAATGCAAAGACAGTTTGCAGTAATAAAAAGCCATCTGTTGAAATTTCTGTAAGGAGTCTGCTCTGCTTCGTTGTGTACACATGCTAGGTGGTTAAGCTACAGCAGTGATGTTTATTGCATCATTTTTCAACTGTGGGACAGAAAACGTGTGTAGCCAGGAAGATAAATTGCCTTATTGCTTCAACTCAGTGTATAAAGTATATTGCTTCTTAGTGTTCTCAAGTGATTGTAGAGTAGTGCAGAAGGTAGTAGATCAATAAAATCAACATTGCTGTCAGTAGTAACGTGTGTATTTCAAATCAGTTTCATGAAGTTGAGGTGAAACTGTTCTACGCGCGTAAACTTCTGACTTACATTATTCCATTTTTTTAAATGAATTAGCATACAGTGCTTTAAAAAGCAAAACAAAAGGAAAAACACCCCAACTACACAGCCCTTACACCAAGTTCCAGATGTCTACACTCCGGTTTGCAGCAGTTTAACTAGGTTGATTAAATGTGTGCTTTCACAATGACACATGCAGCTCTGTGTGCACGTCTTCGCTTTCGTCTCGATGTTGTGCGCAGAGCTTGTTACTACGGAGGCACGTCTCCACGGTGAGTGCCGACGCTGCCAAGCTGACTCTCTGCAGCCCAACCACAGACCCAAGTGCCAGGCCACCATGATCAGTTCACACAGAACAGCTCCAGCCCGAGGCAGCCTTGTTGTGCTCATGCAGCGCTGCACTGAACCCAATAAGGTTTGAAAGCCTGCGGGGCAGGTTTTGTTACTGTGGGCATATCACTGCAGAAGCGATTCTGTCTGTTCGTGATCTCTGCCGAGCTGGCGATGCAGTGCTGGGCTGGATTATGTGAGCATATAGCTGGGTGTAAGCTTGGGAATCCATGCATTCTAGTTAGCTAAAGCCAGTAAAGCTCTTCTGAGCTGTATGTAAGAGTTGTCATTATAAAGGAGCATTAGTAACACGTCTGAGTCCTTAAGCACCTTTCTGAGGAACTTTCTCAGAGGTGCTGCTAATGGATAGAAGTTAGCTGCTTGGCCAACCTTGACCTTAATCAGAAATCCAGTACATTAATATTTTTCAAAGCTATTTACAGCCTGCATTGTTTGAAATGTGACTTGTATTTTGCATGAAGACAAATTTAAAATTGAAATTCTAATTTTCAACTATTTGGGTTAACAAGTATTGCTGGTGATGTAATGCTGAAGGCTGTCCAGCTCCTCCCAAACCAAACCCAAGGCCTTAGGGTAATATACTGCGCCTATAGTTGTTAGTGCTCACATGTCTAAGAACTCATGTGATGTAGCACAGTTGTGGCTACTCCAAGTATCAAAACTATTTTGTTGCATGTCATGGTGGAATCTGTCGTTGTTGTTTCTCAGCTATATAGTACTTACTTAAGTGTTTTTCTCTGGTACCAGGTATCGCCATCGATTTTTGCCTTTTTCTCAAGAAGCACATACAGAATCAATATAAAATTTCCATTTCACAGTATCGTTTAAACACATTGCTTGTAGATTTGCTAATGGAACTTCTCAGGGGGAATATCATGAAATAAACCACTTTTCTAGTATGGATGACATCTTCACATCCGGATTGTAAATTCAACTTGCCGCAGGTTGACTAACTTGAAGAGCAAGAGCTGATCCTGACAACTACAGATTGTACTCAAAATCGAGTGTTCCATTCTACTACAAGAAAACAGATTGGATAAGCACAGTTGTAATACTTGTCCACATGTCTGCTTCTGTCATTGTATAATGTGGTTTCAAGCAAATGTTTGAGAAACCATCTTTGAAGGGAAAGCTGAGTTAATGAAGAACTTTTAAAATATGTTAGAAGTAAATAGCATGTAGGGAACGAGGTTTGACTCTGAGTCCTCTGTGTATCAACTGGCGCCATGCTGTTGTGTAGCAAGATGAAGGCCTTTTTTTTTTTTCTCCTTTGTCTTTTTTTCCTACTGAGTGCACAGATTAATTCAGAAGATTAATGACTGTCTGGCTGTTCCCTTGCAAATCATTCATTATTACTTAATTAAAAGTCACAAAGCTTTTCAGCAATGCATGATGTTATCATGTACTCCAAATTTAACCTCTAATATTTACATATGTGTCTTATTTAATTTGTTTTGCAGGAGGCTGCCAAATATGAAAAGAAAGTGATGGTACTGGACTTTGTCACGCCTACACCTCTGGGAAACTCATGGGGTAAATTTCTCTTTGTTGCAAACCTGTTGTAAAGGAGCTTTACTCAGAGACTCTGATTCTTCTTTGAGATCAACCACACTGATGTGAAAAACACATTGTGTTGCTTTCTCTCAGGTCTTGGAGGAACATGTGTAAATGTGGGCTGTATACCTAAAAAATTGATGCACCAGGCAGCTTTACTAGGACAGGCCTTGCAAGATTCACGCAAATTTGGATGGCAGTTTACAGAAGAAGGTAAAGAAGGAGAACACTTTTTTTCAGTTTTGTCATTTGTGCTGAAAATCCGGAGGTTCTTTTCACAGCCAAGTGCTTGTTGCACTTAAATATGTGCTGGCTTTAACAATGTGAAGCAACTTCAGAGAGATTACACATAAACTTAGGCGCTTTTCAAGTCTAAAGCCATGGGGCATATTGCCTTGCAGCATCTGATCTGTTTATTAATAGATTCTGATCATATTAGTATTTGATAAGATTGCTGTGTGAATAAAAGCAGTAAAGTAGTACTCCACTTCTGAATGTAACACCACATCTAAGAGAATACCCCAGAATGTCCCCTGTTAGAAACTTACTCATAGTTGCAGGCAAGGATTTCCTTTCCCTCAGTCTCTGTCACTAAGAAGCTGAATTTTGCTTTGTATTAGCTCTAGTGTGCATGATTATAGGATTGGGATTTGTTTAGGGTGTAATCCTGTAGTGGGGAACATGCAGAGGCACCTTTCAGAGTTGCACAGTCTTCATTTGTTGAGCAATGTCACCTGCTCACGGCATGCATCTGTAGAAAACTGTTGTTAATGCACTGAGTCTAAAATTTCCATGTTTTGAAGTTGTATCTGTTCTACTGTGACCTCTTGTGTTGTCTGCGCTGATGTAATTCCTTGAATTTCGGTAGAGTTACTCTGGAATAAAAAAGGAATAAGACAGCGGAGACTGGGTCATGGAAAAAATCTGTCTGAGAATACAAGGTTGGCTGTGGAAAAAGAAGAAATCAGACTGAAAGATGAGCCTTTCTCTTTTGTTTCTAACAGTCAAACACAACTGGATGACTATGACAGAATCTGTTCAGAATTACATTGGGTCACTGAACTGGGGCTATCGGGTTGCACTGCGAGAGAAGAAGGTCACATATGAGAATGCATACGGAGAATTTGTTGGGCCACACACAGTTAAGGTACTCCCTAGCCACGTTTGCTGCGTCTTCCTGTAGCACTTTCTGAATAGAGGTGCTTTTCAAATAGAGTTTTTTTTCCCTTGGTAAGACTGTGAAATACTCACTTTGGACTAATACTTTGTCCACAGGCAACAAATAAAAGAGGAGTTGAGAAGCTGTACACAGCTGAGAGATTTCTCATTGCCACTGGTGAACGGCCACGTTACCTGGGTATACCGGGAGACAAGGAGTACTGCATTAGCAGGTAAAAACAGCGAGGAATATGAAGTCATTCACCGTGCATAATTGGTTCACCTGTGAGAGAAAGTGGTGAAGCACGAGCAGGGCTGCTTGGTTGCTGGTTTTCTTTCCTGTGTAACTTTTTGTTAGGGGAAAGTAAGCGAAGGAGAATAGCTATAGACAGATATCAGGCTGCCAAAAATATTGGTGTCTAGTTGACATCACAGGACTGTGGCTGGCTAGGACGGTTCTGTTTCTGACTGATAACAGCAGTAACAGAGAATACCGTAAATCATGTGCGTGTCCATCGTAAAATTAATTCATCAGCTCTGCCCTAATTAGCATGACACCCAGTTACTTGCTATTCCTTATGGTCTTTTTGTTCACATATGGAAGTTTTTTTTTTTTTGTAATGGAGAGCACAGTCTGCTTGGAAGAAACCTCCCTGCACAAATGTCAAGGAAAAGGGGAGCTGCAAAGCAGTTGGTGTTGTGAAGCTGGCTGAAATGTATCTGTCTTCGTGGATTGGGGCAGTCTTGAATCTCAACCCAATTTTTTCCCAGCTACTCAGTGAAGTGAATTCAGCTTTTGGGAGATCCTGTTTCAAATGTCTTGTTAATTGAGAAGACCAAGAAATTCTAGCACAATTTTGACAAAAAAAAAATTGATAGGCAGATGAAATGTATTTTAATATCAGAGTAACTTTTAAGTTACTTAATGTAGAAACAGGTTGAATTCAGGCTTGAAAACCTATAGCAATGAAATAAGTAACTGGCATAATTCCCGTGAAGCCAAAACACCATGTTGTATGTTTCCCTTCTAATAAGTAGTAGTGAAATTAAAGATAATATAGCCTGTGAAGTGGTGCTTTAAAATAACAGTAAGGTGGAAGAGTCAGGAATGCTTATGGACGATCAGATTGAGGCTGTCTCTGTAATATTCACTGGGTTCCCCACAGGATAGGAACTATGAAGTAGCCTTCAGTTACGCAATCATGTTTTATTCCACCACAACATTTGCAGAGAACATCTTTGTTTAGCCTTTGCAGTTGGCTGAAAGAGAGACACTTTAGATGTAAATCTCTGGAGAATTGCATTGCCAAACTCTAAGTCTCTGCTGAGCAAGTGTGATTATGAATCCCTGCTTCGTGGAGAAGCCCTGGTTTTACAGTCTAGGTCCAAAGTGTGCTAGAACTGATGCACCTTGATGAAGCGGTTGAAAGAAATGGAAAGCAGGCAAATAAACATGTTTCCTGTGATTTCATGCTTCTGTCTCTACCTGTTACTGTGGTTTGCATTAATTTGTTTTATTGTCTGTGTATATTTGGCACTGTGTATGTGCTTTAGCGAAAGGAGATGTCTTCAAAGAAGTCAAACTGGCATTTTTATCTTAAAACTGTACCCCTTCCTCTACTTTTTAGCTCTCAGGAGCTAAAATTTGCAGCAAAATGTTGGAAGCAAGATTCAGAGGGGAGGAAAAAAAAACACCTACCTTTTTTTAACAATTTGTCACAAGTTTCTGTAAAGAAAAAAACCTCAAGATTTTTGTGGTGATTCAGAAGTTTCATACGCTTTTTTTTTGTGTGTGTACTCCTAAATAGAAATTTTTTATATGTCATGTACTAATCTTGTATTTCAGCTGAGTTTCGGAAAAATTGTGGTTTTTAAGTGAGTGGGAAGAGGAATAGAGTCCTATTCTTACAGAAGAAATCAGATAAATACAAAGCACAATACATTCTTCTGGTTGTCTCTAACTTTCTTTATTTTTTTTCTCCTCTTTTTTTTTTTTTTTCTGATGATCTTTTCTCTCTGCCTTACTGTCCAGGGAAAACCCTGGTGGTTGGAGCTTCCTATGTGGCCTTGGAATGTGCAGGATTTCTTGCAGGTCTCGGATTAGATGTCACTGTGATGGTGAGATCCATTCTCTTACGAGGATTTGACCAGGATATTGCAAACAAAATTGGTGAATATATGGAGGAACATGGAATCAACTTTATTCGGGAGTTTGTGCCGATCAAGGTAGGCTTAAAGTGGTACCCTGTGATAATGTTTTAAGGTGTAAATAGTTTTAGTGAATGCAAAAATAGAATTTGCAATACAGGATCTGCTTTGATATAGTATGCTTAATTTTTGTTTTAAACTGAATGAGTCCAGGAATGTTATGTAATTGAAAGGTACCATTTAGTCTTAGTATTAAGATTTTGTGAGATTCTGGAATTCCTTGTCTTTATTAGAATTAGACGGGTTAGTATATGTTGCATTCAAAATGTTGTTCCTGTTCATTCTGGTCCTGCAAATGTTGTATATACTTAAATTCAGCTGTTGTCCTGAAATCTTTGAAACTTCTTGCAGGCTCACAGTTAGGCAAATATATAATGTCCTGTAAGTTCAGGGCCAGTGCATCACAAACAGTCAGATTTTTCACTGCCAGTTCTCAATTTCTCAGCCAGCAAATACTGCTTATTGTGCCCAGGACCAATGGACTATCCAGAAAAGTAAATGGGCTTTAGAAGTATCCATCTATATCCTTTACTTGGCAGAGTCCTTAAATACTTGCTCACTTTTTGTTGAATTTAGTGGGAGTAATCATGCAGCTAGCTATGTAAATGTATAGGCAAATTCAGGTTGAAAAGCAGATTAGATAAATGCTGAAGCTTTTCTAATTTAAAATCGCCTTATCAAAGACTTCAGAGGGTGCTGACAGTATTTTTATTAATTTTTTTTCTCAATAATTAGTGCTTAATTATTATAAAATAGGAAATAATATATTAAGCAGTTTTCAATTTGACATTAAGCCAGCATGCTATGAAGTTTAACACTTTGGGGATTAAAGCATTAAATTGAGTGAAGACTGTTCATTTTCACCCCTAGCAATATCAAGAGTAACTTCAAAAATGCTCTTGTGGGTTACCATGCTGTGGATCTGACCCCCTTCACTGAGTGTGAGAGATGTGCTGTGAGAAGTCAAAGTGAATATGCATGTTTGTGTTGCACAAATCTCCATGTTGCATGAAAAGCAAGGGTGATTATCTAGCTTTTGTTTCACATGTAGCTTTTTCTAGCTGTTCTGGGGGATGGGAAAGAAGGATGCTGATTTTACAAGAAGCAGATCATTTCAACTAAATAGCAAGCAGTCTCCTCCAGGTGCACCCTGTGGAGAGGAGACCATCACCCTAGTCACAGAATGCACTTTTTGTGTATTTTACCCTGTCCCTTCACTAAATGTCTTTGACTTCAATGGGAATAAAATATTTGCCCCTGTTTTTAGTTGAGCGTATCCTTAAACTTAAATTGCTGGATGTGTTTTTAGCATATCTTCTCATCTCTTTCAAACATTGTGTTTGAAGTTGTGCATGTTGTGCTTATTAAAACCCTTCATTGGGACGTTTGACGACAGAAGATGAATTATTATAAATAATGCCGCCTTTGAATAGGAGCAGTTTAACACAGTTATCCTGTAAAGTTGGTAGCATGGCACAGATGGTCTGGGCTTTTTTAAATTAAAAAAGGGGAAGAGAACTTCATCAGAAATTTTGCTTTTTCTGTCTTTAAATACTGAATATGAAGTAGGAACTGGGACAGCTTTTGAAAAGTACTTTTTCTTCTGCAGAATGAACACTAAAAATTTCCCAGAATTAGGTTAAGTGTTGCAGACATACGTGTCTCTTGTATGTGCAGCCAGCCGTAGGAAGCAGCCGGGCACCGTGCCGTTCCCTGGGAAGGTAAGGGAAGGGCTGCAGCTGAGGATACCCAGTCCTTTCCTCACAGTCCAGTGAATATTGATGAGGACAAAAAAAGAATCCACCTATGTAACTTTGAAGTCCGTTCAGTAACCTGCTCCATTACTTGAGAGAGAATGTGCAGCTGGATCCATAGCTAAAACTAGGAATATTTATTTCAGTTGACTCTGCGGAACTCTGAAGAGGTTGGGGTTTTTTTTCCTAAATTGCCGATGTTTTTTCAGCCGTTTAGAGCCAGCTGCTGCCTTTTCCTGCAAGGCCATGGCAGCTTTACGTGTTGCACTAATACCATTCAAACAGGGCAAAAGCCGGTACTGCTAAGAGCTGGACTGAGACTGTGGCTTCCCATGGGTGGAAGGCACGATGGTCCTCAAGGTGCAGTTGAAGAAAATGTCTGATGCTGTTTTCGGGTTTTGCAAGAGCTCCCTTCATCCTTATCTTCTCTGTCCCCAGCTGATACTAGCAGCTCACATGGTGGGCTTGGACAAGAACTTCGCTATCAATCAACTTTTATAAACAGAAACAAGGTCTCATTGTGTTGGTCATATGAATAAATGCATGGAGATGAAACAAAATTGTTAAACATGCAAGTAGTAATCACAAATGTAGAGAAAGGTGAACGTATCTTTAGAATGAATGTTTGAATTTGAGGTCATGGTTAAACACTCATTTTCAATGATAGGATATGTCATGGGACAAAGATACATTTGCATATCTTTATTTGAAACTGAATGGTTTTTGTTTTTTTTCCTAATGTTGTAGGTTGAGCAGATTGAGGAAGGAACTCCTGGAAGACTGAAAGTTATAGCCAAGTCCACAAAGGGGGACCAAATAATTGAAGGGGAATACAATACTGTGAGTCCTGTCTGTGTATATAAAGAACATGAAATAGCCTTCCCTTTAATGTTAAGATTTTGTGTGGTATTTTTATCCATAGTTTAGATTTTTTGAAACTATTTTTAATCATTACAATATGCTAATTGCAAACAATCAACAGGTAATTAATGTGACAAAAGTACCAAGATCCATGGGCATGAGTCCATGTGCCTTCCCTGATCATTTGAGTACTTCTGAAACCTGTTTATTAGCTTAGCGATGTAGATGAACTTGGTCATGTGGTATCAGTTGCAGGACTTTTCCCCAGTGGGATATTTGTCATAAGCTATAAGTAATGATTTGTAATAACTTTCATAGTAACTAAAGCATGCTGTTCTGGAGTTAACACAAAGCACTGGTCTGTGCAAGAGCTAAACAAACAGGTTTCCTGTCTTCTCGGGACCTGTTCATGCAGCGTCTTCACAAAAACAACTAATGCCCTGAGGCACGTCTGACAGGGAACTTCATTACACACTTAAAACAGTAAAATTGCAGTGTGCAGGTGTGCCATTATATGTTTGATTGACTGTTTCCATCACGCCTCACCTCACTCATTTTCTTAGTCCTTGATGCTGAAAGGAGAAGAAAAAAAAGAAATTGTGAATAGAATATTTGGAACTATGCAGAAAGCATACAGACAAGCATTGGTCAGCCTGGCGTTTTAGACTGCAATTACTGTGTGCCAGTGACCTCGTTTACCTGTGTAGTGCACCGATCATCCCATACCAAGCACATGCCTCAGTGCATTTGAGTGCAAATATTATGAGAAAGTTTAACAATAACAGTGCTGTTGCACAGTGTTGTAGTACTATTTTCCCTGGTCCATAGTAGTGAAAGCTTTTTAGATAGCAAATCAAAGCAATTTTTTAATTAAGGAAACTTCTTATTTCTACTATGTCTTTTGCTGAAACGCTGTCACTCCTCATAGAAGCTATGAGCTGTGTGTGATGCGTTTTGAGACCTTCAGCTCTGAAGACCTGGCCTGCTGCGTCGTCTAAAAGACTTGAAGCAGATCTTGGATTCCTGCAGCACTGTTCTTAGTTGTCGTATGGGAAGCATTGTGTAGTTACCTGGGCAGTTGTCCAAGACTGCTAAGCACATAGCTCTTTTCCTTGTGGTAGTATAGGCTGGAACTTGTTTTGCTTGTTAAGGTAGTCAAGTTAATAGGATGGGTAAGAATTTGACCTGGTCTGTCCATCGTTCTGAAGAAATGTTCAGACAAATAATACTCAACAAATAATATTCTTTGGCAGTGACTGGGCTGAGAGCCTATATAAGTAAATTATATTTTCTGATCAATCCAAAAATTATTTTATGGCCTTTTTCTTTGCCTAAACATCTGAGTTTCCTTACTGAAGAGCCCTTTCCTTATGGAGCATTTTGGGGTCACCTGCTATGGTAAGGATATGGTATAACACTTTGTTATAAAAGTGCAAGGAAATAAAGAATCTGACCGTAACCGATTTGTTTAGAATACTCTTGGGGTGTTTTTCCAGGGAAAGCCATTTGGCTGTGTTTAATCTTATAATTAAAACCTGGTATCGTTAGGTCATGGTCATGGTGGTGGTGTGCCTTGTCTTGAAGTCTGTGAATGTACAATGGGTAACAAACATATTCATCTTAATGTGACCCAGCCTTAGATACTAATCCTTAGTATATCATGCAAATGCACTTTTGAGGTTTTAAAAAATCAGTAATGTGCATTTCTCTTTTG